CTTAGGTATATATCTTTTTTTTATGGGAGAGGGGCAAACGAGCGTACGGCTCACCTGATGTGATAAGTAAATGATAACCTTATTGCTTTTTGCTACACATAACCTTCCCGATTGTACCCCTTCTTTACTTGACTTAAGTATTGTGTCCCCACCTGATTTTGTCTTGAAGTACGGCCAGCACGAGACTGATGTTTTTTTCCTACCACGATCTTTTATTCCTTACGTACAAAGTTTGTCCTCCTAAAGTAAAATCGAAAATACTTCTGAAACGTAATTTTAGTGGAATGGACAATGTGGACTTACGGAAAATGCTCGTCTTTTGGATTGGGCCGCTATGGCAAATGCCACTACGGTCGTTACAAAAGTTGAGTTGTTTTACTTTTTTCTCATACAACTGTATGGCGCTCATTCACCAGTAAAACCCATAAAATGAAACACTTACCTGCGCCATGGCTAACAGACGATCTTAAACATCATATCATCAAAAACAGGCTTCGCGAAAAGGAAGCTCAAGGCCGATAGATCTGACAAAAATCTTCAAAACTACAACAAAGTTTAGAGTTGCTGGCAATACATCGTGTGGGGATGCACACAAATGGATTTGTGAATGTGGAGTACACTCATAAATCAGTTGAAAATGGCGACACTGCCAGAGTTTGAAAATTTCTTTAATCACTTGGTTCGTAAAACATCTTCTAGCTCAACGCACCATAAAATTGATATTTATCTTCTTAACCAACATTTTACTTCAAAAGAATAAGAATACACTGAATATTCTTTCTTCAAGACCAATTTCCCACCGTTTAAGTTCATTCCTTTCACTGACTGTTATGTTAAGAAGAATTATATTATCCATCTCTTCCAAAACCGTGTGTGATGATGATGACAGTGTTAGCGTTAGTGTAACCTGAACTGTGAAATAAAATCATATTCTGCTCTGTTACTGGTGAAATTTTTGCAAAGGCTACAGCTACTACTGTAAGTACAGTACCTGTACTATTATATCATCCTCGCTAAATCACATGGATACGCTTTCTGTTGGTCATCTTATGGAAAAATATACTGGCGGATGAAGGAAGGAAGCCCACAAATAGGTAAGAATTAATGAAGAAGCAGATCTTACAAAGCTAAAGAAATCCAACATATGACTATCATTCCAGTTTACAGTGTATATAATAAGAAAAATGTTTTTGCTACTAATTATTCAAATAACGTATTTTTCTAGCCTTGATTATTCATTTTTTTATTTTGTTCTACACACTTTATCTTGTTACTTTCTTAATTTGTTCATTCTGGTATTTATCCCTCAGAATTAAAGGTAGGAATAGTAAGACCCATCTACAAAAATGGGTCGTACTGTGATTATGACAATTCTAGGCCAATTAGAATACTTCCTGTAATAGATAAAATAGTTGAAAAATATATATGTAGTCAGAGACATAAATATTATATATCGAATGATGTTCTGTCCAGCACTCAGCTTTGCTTTCAAAAAAATAATTCAACTACTTCTTTTTTATCAAAATTTACCGATGAAATTAATACTTATTTAGATAACAAACAACACATAATTCTTTTATTTACTGACTACAGCAAAGCATTTGATACTCTTAAACACGATTTATTAATACAAAAACTGAAAAATACAGGCATACGCGGGCCTTTACTCAAGTGGTGTGAAAATTACCTCAAATATAGAAAACACCGGCTGAGAATTGAAAATGATTACAGTGATGAAATACCTGTAACTAAGGGAACAGCTCAGGGGTCGGTTCTTGGCCCCTTACACTATCTGGCCTTTGTAAACGACATGGGGAATGTGATTAAACATAGTTCAGTATATCAATACGCAGACGATACTTGCCTAGTAATAGCCAATAAAGACATAACAAAAGCAGAAAAGATGTTACAACATGACTTTACTAACCTCTGTATGTGGTCACATCACGCGGGACTCGTAATAAATTCTGGTAAAACTAAAATTATACATGTACGCTCGATGCACTCTAACAAATACGAAAGACCAATAAAAATACTAGCACACAGCCACGACTGCCTTCATAGTTCGTCTAAATTAAATACTAACTGTAATTTTAATCCTCTAGAACAAATTAACACTTATAAATACCCCGGTCTGATTGTGGATGAAAGATTCAATTGGGGTAAACACGTTGAGCATGTATGTAACAGGCTACGGGCTATGCTAGCAAAGTTTGCAATACTAAAATACAAAATGCCATTTCCCATCCTTATAAATCTGTATAACGCTCTTGCTGAGTCTGTTATTTCTTATGGCATTACAAGTTATGGAAAAACATTTAAAACTTACTTAGATAAAATATATATAACCTACAAATCAGAATATTGAAAATAATTATACCTAAAAAAGTAAAAACAAAAATATACAGTTACCTATATACACGAAATTTCAGATGCTAATACTAATAGAACAATTTCACAATAAAAAAGTGCAAGTTAAAACTAATCATAAAACTATTACAAGAAAAGTTATACAAAATAAGCTCGTAACACCTAAAATATATAACTACTATGGTAAACATACAAATAGATATTTAATTCCTACTTTAATGAACCAAATACTCCCCACGATACTCTCAGATATCAATGAAGATAACTACAAAAACAAATTCAAAAAATATTTCTATGAATAGCTACAACGGGAGTAAATAAATATTAATAAAATATTAAATACAAAGTTATATATACTTATAAAATCATCAATTAATTGTTCTAATTTTTATAAATATATGTACATATATCTCTTATATTTATAGATTAAATACGGATACTTGCAACTAAAATAAAAACAAATCAACAATGAAAAACTATAAATAATAATAAAAAAGATCAACTCACAGTTTTTGCACCAACCTGTATACTGCTTCTGCAACTACATAATCCGAGCGGCCGCTAAGAACGATCTAATTGTCACGCTCATACTCGTGGACTCACAGAAACCGGTTTTTTTTTGTCAATACGGTCCGTCCAGAACGCCGGTGATTTGCAATTACGGTGGTTTGAAATTTATCACTTAAAATATGTACGTATTTACTTAATATTATTGTTACTGTTTATAAGCAGCCATCAATTAGGTGATTGTATTAAGAGTTTGTATAATGTATGTGATTGTACTTTTACCTTTAATTGTGTGAGACTGTAACTTGCGGACAAACCTCACGGTTTTTGCAAGTTAATTACATTTAACTTATGTATTTACTGTAAAGTTATAAATAAATTAAAAAAAAATTACTCTACACTCTACATGCTAATGATACTCCTTTATATTTATAACTCCATACAATACCACTACACACTTACACAATACACAACCAAGACTTATACAAATCTTATTTATATAGTTAATAACATTGCTCTGAACTTATTACTCTCTCTAATCAATTTAATTCACTTAGTAGAGCTATTTAAACTAGAACCTCAATGCCATATAATTTTTAAAAATGGATGAAGATATAGGAGATGAACTTGATCAAATTTCTGTATCTGAATCTGCCATATGTGAAGTTGAGCAAACTAAACTAATGCTACATGGCCAACAAAAATAGTCTTATTATTATTAATCAAAATATTCGCAGTATCAGTAAGAATTTTGACGGTTTCACAGTATTATTGAAAGGACTTGAGGTTGACTGTGACATTATTATTCTGACCGAAAGCTGGCATGGTTCTGATCGTTTATTGCCTAATTTAAATGGATATAGTAGTTATGCAACAACACAACATGCATTGCAGAATGATGAAATCATGGTACATGCAAAATCTGATATCGATATTATTTTTGAAGTACCGACATTTCTAGAAGGAAACTGTCTGGTTATGAAACTCGGTCTCGAAACTGCAATTATAGCTATATATCGTTCGCCTTCGTATTGCAAATTGGATTCTTTCAATGTGTATTTTAACTTTATTTTGTCAAATTTATCAACATTTAAAAACATATCAATTATAGGTGACCTAAACATAGACATTAGACCATAAAATAGAGATAAAAGAGCTCACGATTATCTTAATCTTTGCGCTAGCCATGCTTTATTACCTGCCCACATTTGTCCAACAAGGGAAAATAAAACGTGCTTTGACCATGTCTTACTCAAAACAAAAAGTCAGCTCTTACATTGGTGATCACTTCTACACTAACTGACCATCAAGCATTACTCCTGTGCTTAAATCAGAATGAAATTAAAAAGTCTTCTTTAAAACATAGAACTGAATTACTTGTGCACATAGGTAATATAAACTTTAAAACCATATATAAGTCAAATGACGCTAACTTTTGCACAGAATTTTTAGTTACATCTTTAAAAACCGCAATAGAAAAAAGTACAAGCATAGTATATATATCTAGACGTTTAAAAAACATGAAACCATGGATAACCCCCGGCCTAATAAGATGTATGCGTAATAGGGATAGAATGCATCTGAAAGTAAAACGTGCACCAGAAAATATAGTGCTTAAACTCACATATACACGATACAGAAATGATTGCAATAGTTTACTAAAAAAGCTTAAAAGAGAGTATGAGAAAACACAATTAGAATTAGCAGGTAACGACAGTAAAAATTATGGGAAGCCATTAAAATTATTACATACACACATCTAAACCGAAATCGTTGCCTCAGGAATTACTGAAAACTGACTGTATTAAAGACTCCTTAAGTTATTACTTCCCAAGCTTCGAAAACATTGGAACTTTTTATCAATTCTTTAAATTAAGTTCATAATACATTAAGAAAAAAGAATAAGACAACAAAAATAATAAAAAATATAGCTTATATATACCTAATATGACAATGGGGACATGTGATCAGAAATAATACAAATTAACAATTATAAGAAAATTTGCTTTATTTGAAAATGATGTCCACAAGCAGTCTTAAAAATAAAATATTATGAGCTTATTTTGTATGATAAGGTATGAAACAATCACTGCAAAGTGTTTTTTCACATGTAGCACAAAAGGTTAGAGGTTTTTTCTTACAACCTTGTCCTCGCAACGCCTCTTTTTGTCTCTCTTTGTCATATAGTGACCAACATTATCAAACCTGACAGGTTGTAAAAGAACTTCTGAAGAACCGGGTGTCGGTTTACTTGCCTTGCCTTTAGATTTTTTCATCCAAGCAAAACAAACCCTTCGTCTGAAATCTAGCAGAGGGATGGTCTCATCTTTATTTATCTGGTTGTAGATAATCCATGCATTCACAAGGGACATGTCTAAAACACGGATGACTAAAGGCCAATACCATTTTTTACCTCTAAAGCAGATGGGATATTTAGAAATCAGCCAATCATGTTTATCCATTCCTCCTATATTTTTATTATATTTATGAATAAGCATTTGCTGATTCACGGCTACTTTGGCCTTTTCTTTGTCATGCCATTTCACGAACAAAATTTCATTATTTTTATCAAAACAATAGTCTTTCTTGTTCATCTCCTGTTTGGTCATGATAGGACATTTTTAGTCCTATTTTCTCTGACTGTCCCTGTAGCTCTGAACCCTTGAGATTTCAAATCAATCAACAATTGCATGCTGCTGAAAAAGTTATCGAAGTAGCCTACATGTGCTCTGGGATCTGTACAAACTGCAAGCAACTTCTTTACCACTGTTGCACCCAAGCCATCGTTACTACTAGCAGAGGTTTGAGCATCCTTGCCCGTGTAAAGCAAAAAGTTGTAACAATATCCGCTGACTCCACACAGTGTCCAAAGCTTATACCCGAACCTTACTGGTTTACCTTTTACAAATTGTTTGATTCAATGGTGACCGAAGTATTTGTTGATCATTTCATCAACAGCTAAATTGGATTCAAATATACCAAACTTTCGGAATGATTCATTAGCTTTTTCGAAAAGTGGGCGAATTTTTAAAGCTTTGTCAGTATTATCAATTTGTGAGTTGTCATTGAAATGTAAATAGGATTTAATTTTAACAAAACGATTACGGGACATTTCCTGTTCAACAAATGGAATCTGTACATCCTCATCTCTACACCAATAAAGTTTACTTTACGGCAAGTGATGATACGAAGAGAAAAACAAAATTCCTATAAAGACTTTTAACGCATTTATAGTTAGATTGAAGTTCAAATAATTTTTATAATGTTTGGCGTAGGTTACAGTTTCGTGCACAATATATTCTAGAATCTCGTCACACAGTCAGTTTTAGAATATTTCTACCGCTGATTTTCCTTCCAACTCCATAATCATTATTACTCCGTAGTATTAGATTCCGGCTGTATTTCAGAATATACTGGTTCACACTTACGCCAAGTGACTGTCTTGCTTGTCCGAGATGCGGTTTGAGTAAGATGATTTTCCGCGACGTTATTGATCGTGCACGAAAATTCCACTTGACTAGCTACATCAGACACTGGCAAAACTCCCATATTGTCGTCATGACCTTCTTCTATTTCAGTCATTTCATCTACCTCATCCGGCGGCAATATGGCAACTTCAATGTCATTCAACTCCTCATCACTATAATCTTCAATATCTTGGAGATAGTCTACGATTTCGGAAACCTTCAAAGCTTTTTTATACTTTTTTTTCACTGGATCCATGATCTACAAATAATAATAAATAGAAAATATAAATATATAGCCACACGAATACTTAAAATCATACAGACAGGTATATTGTTTACAATTAGATGAAGAACAAAAATAAAATATTTACTTACTATTGGTATTTATTTATAGATGAGATATATGTAGATATTTCTCAACCTCGTAAACAATTCACTTTTTTTACTCTAGGTCGATAATAATCACAATCGTTTCGTGTGACGAGATGTAATGTGTTCGGCGTAGACTAATCGATTAATGACAAACAATTGATCAGTTGAACCTGTACTTAGCGTGACAGGATCGAACACGCTTTCGCGGCAAATTGTATAGACAGGTTCCCAGTGTCATATTTATAGGACGGCTTATTGTGAATGTATATCACAAGTTCACAAATTGTTTTTTGTTTTTGTTTTTATTTGTTTTATATTTGGTAGAGATCTAAAAATAAGTCTTCTGTACTTTGAACTAGGTAACGTTTTTCTTTTACGGTATATACAATCGAAACTCAATGCTCTCCTTCAGTCAACAAAAACGATCAATTTCAAAAAATTATATTAAAATTACGTAAACATTTATTTTGTTAGAAAAATAGTGTAAAAATATGAATTTCATCAGAAATAATAAAAATAAAAGTCCTAATACGTAAAAAGAAATTTTGTTAATAGTGTCCTAAAAATATGACAGTGGGGAGGAATGGGTTAAATAGTGTTTTTGTAATTAATGTAATTTCTTTGCAACTGTTGGGAAAAACATCGCAGAAAAAAGTGACATCAGCAATAGCATTGTAGAAAAACAAGAATTATCACAAATTAACCTTGATGCAACAAGAGAATCGTTTGTATTATTATCTACTGATGCGGACGAAGTAGAACGTATTATAATAAATTTAGAAACAAAATGTACAGTTTCTTGGGATAAAATCTCTAATAACTTTCTAAAAACCTTTTGACATATCCTAATCTCACCATTAACTTATATCTTTAATTTATGTTTCGCGAACGGACTATTCCCTAATTATTTAAAAAAATCCATAATTCACACCATATATAAATCTGAAGATAGAGACCGTGTGAATAATTATAGGCCTATTTCTATACTTCCATCTATTTCAAAAGTATTGGAAAACCTAATTAACATCAGACTTGTAAAATACTTAGAGAACTTTAATATTCTATCAAACTGTCAATTCGGGTTTAGATCCGGGAAATCTACCAATGATGCAGTACACGTATTAACCGATAATATCGTCAAAAATCTAGACAAAGGCAATAAAACGGTAGGGATTTTTCTGCACCTCGCGAAAGCATTCGACACGGTCTCTATCCCTGTACTGCTAAGGAAACTTGAAAAAATTGGTATACTTGGCACACAACTAAACTTGTTAGAAAGCTATCTAACTGGAAGACTCCAGTATGTTACAATAAATAACCAATGTAGTTCTGATGTACCTGTTAGCTACGGAGTACCTCAGGGGAGTATTCTGGGCCCAATTCTATTCCTCGTCTACATAAATGACCTCTTAAAACTTAAATCCTTCCATGGCAAAATCATATCATATTCTGATGATACAGCACTCCTTTTCTCAGCAAGTACATGGAAGGTGGCTTTTGATAACACTAAAACTTGAATTGATGTTGTCTCAGTATGGTTACGTAGTAACTACTTAGGTATCTCTTAATATTGAAAAAACTAAATATATCACCTTTTCCATGACAAAAATGATCCTCAATTAACTATCAACTATAAGTTAACTGCTCATATTTGTTTAAATTTAACGAAACCTTTAGGACTATCGCGTACCTGCCCATCTTTATCCAAAACCAACTGTGTTAAGTATTTAGATATTCTTATTGATAATCAATTGTATTTTAAAGATCATTTAGAAGTTTTAACGTCCCGAGTTCGAAAACTTATTTATGTCTTTAAAAATCTGAGGCATGTAGCTAAACCTGAACTAGTGAAACAAATATACACTGCTTTGTATCAATCCATTTTAACTTACGGTATAACAATATGAGGTGAAACCCCAAAAACTACATTAGCTCCAATGGAAAGAGCTCAGAGAACTGTTTTAAAGGTTTGTACTTCTCTACTCATTCTCTATCCGACGTATGAACTATATAAACACTGCCAAGTATTAACAATCCGACAACTATTCATTTACCTGACGATTTGAAAACAACACAGGTTACTAACTTTTACCTCATCTCAATTAATAAAGAGAAGATCGGACAAAGTGTGCCATACTGCTACCTTTAAACATTCATATGCACATAAATATTTTTGTTTCTTGGTCCATTCTTGTACAATAAAATAAATATGCAAATTTATATATTTTAAATAAAACCTATTCAAATGGCTTCAAAAATTAGACTATGAAGAAACAGTAGTATTATTGAAATTCCCTAAATGACTGAATTACTTTTATAATGTATACTTAATACACCATTAAATTATATTTTCTTGTTATAATTATATACACATACACACTAAAACACACACACACATACATACATACATACATACACAAACACACACACACACACACACACACATACATATACATACATACATACATACATATATACACACACACACACACTAACACGCACCCACATACGAGAGGAACAATTTACACTCAACAATATATGTAGTTATATGTGTAGGTTTAATTTTTATACTTCAAAATAATATTGTTTGATATTATGTTTACGTAAGTTTCTTAATCAGAAAGATTTCTGTTAAATTGTCCCATAAGAAAGAGCACTGTTGCCTGAGATACAAGCTTAGTGCTTAGTTCAGGCGCAGATGCAAATATATGTATGTTGTTAAAATTTTTCCTGAATAAAGAAATTATTATTATTGTTATTATATATTTTAATACAGTTGCTCAAAAAGTGGTTTATTGCAGGAACGTATAGCGTTCGTGATATGGGCTATTACATACTCGAGCTTTTTCTTTAACTTTTCCGAACTCGTGTGTTCTCTTTCCCAACTGTCAAAATACTGTCTATTAAAAAGAAAAAATCAACCACGAAGTTTTTACTAAAAAAAATTCATAGAAGTTTTTATGATTCATGCAAATATTTCTAAAAAGAAGCTACTAATTTGTTTCAATATCAGATTTAATGATTTGATTCAATGAGTTAGGTTAGGTTTCATTTCATTTCATCTCATTAAATTTCATTTTCATTTCATATCAATAAAAAAATTCTACTGAAGACTTGGCTATATGGGCATAGTTCCCTTTGCCTACCTAGAATGGGTGAAAAAAACAAAAAGAAATCTGTGCTTATATTCTTTTACGGTTGGCGCCATTTTCCAAAAATGTTCTTTGCAAGTTTAGTTGTTTGTTGCACAAAATGAGTAATTTCGACGATATTTTATTTAAATTAACACCACCGGAACTCAGTATAATTGCACAAAATGCTTCGGAGAACATTTTACCGGAAAAGTCAAAAAGTCGCTACATATCTACATACGACGAATTTATTGCTTGGAGAGAAGAGAAAAAAGCAAATAGTTTTTCAGAAAATGTTATGTTGGCATACTTCTCCGAACTCTCGGCAAAATTAAAACCTTCTACGTTATGGTCGAAGTTTTTTGATGATAAAAAGTATGCTGAAAATAAGGAACAACGTGAACATAAATGAATGCTCAAAACTAAATGCTTTATTAAAACGAAAATCAGACGGTTTTACAACTAAAAAGTCGAAAATATTAACATCAAATTAAGTGGAAAGGTTTTTGAACGAAGCTCCCGATGATCGTTATTTAGCCACAAAGGTAATTTATTAATAAATACTTATATTTTTCTTTAGTTTACGAAATCGCAAAATAGAGTCAATATATTATTAAAAAAAATATTAATCAAATCCCTTTTTTGTAGGTTGCGCTGATTTTTGGCGTTGTTGGAGCTTGCCGGCGAGAGGAGTTAGCCAAGATTACTTTAAAAGATATTGAAGTCCATGGAAAAATGCTACTAGTCAAGATTCCGAATACAAAAAATAAGATACCGAGAAGCTTTGTTGTTGAAGGAGATTTTCTTAGAATAGTGCAAAAATATACGAATCAGTGGTCCCAAAAAGCAAAAACAGACCGTTTTTTTCCAAAATTATCGAAAAGGGTAAAAGTGTACAGCTCAAGCAATCGGGATAAACAAATTTGGTAATATGCCAAAAGAAATAGCTACGTTTCTTGGTCTGCCGGATGCTGTGTATTATACTGGGCACAGCTTCAGGAGGACCTCTGCTATATTATTGGCAGATTCAGGAGCCAATTTGACGTCCTTCAAGCGACCAGGAGGTTGGAAGTCAGACAAAGTGCAGAAGATTATATTGCTGATTCATTAAACAACAAATTAGAAACTGGAAAAAAATCACACAATCCATTAATTTAAAGTCCTGTCCGTCTCCTTCACATGACAATACTGAAGAGAACGTTCGTCCATCTACCTTCGTTGATAATAATAATTCATCAGATCCAATTCCATCAACTAGCAAACGTCTTTGTATAACATCTTTGACAAATATACATGAACAATTATACGAAATTAATAATAGGTTGTCTTAAACAGTAAATATGCAACCTAAAACTTCCCCAGTTAGTATGAAAAACTGTACCAATTTCAATGTATATGTGAATTATAACTTTTATAAGAAATAAATGATTAGTTAGTTGAGTTTATTGTGTTTTTACAATTTTATCAAATTGCTTCATTTTTTCGCAACTGTATTAAAAATAGTTGTTTAGTACACGTGCGGAACCGTCATTGCAACTTGTTCCGACTGTCAACCCTCAACTTCGGTTGCACCTTGGCTCGGGTGCACATTTGTCGGAACTCTTTGCAATGACAGGCTTTCCGCACTCGTAATGAAATATACTGTTGTGGTACAGATTTTCCGGCCGCTAATAAAATATTTTTTATTTTTTATCACGAAAGTAGAAATTCGTCGTTCAATTTCTTATAATGTCAATCCCAATAGACTCAAATT